CCTCGTTATATTTAGTTTCCTTCCAGTGAGACCCTTAAAATTTTTATTCAGACAGTGTAATGTATTCTCCATATGAAATTGTAATTCCTTTTAGATAGTAGACTTAGGTAGTAACATCTTAAAACCTGACTGAAGGCTGGTTTGGGCACTGTCCAATTCATACAGCGCGCCTAACCTTGAATTTATAGAGCTTTTCAAATTCAAACAAATAAACCGTAACAAACTTTTTTTGTAATGGATGTTCATTCCCTAATAAGAGAAAAAGAAAAGCCTTTAAATCCCTTTAACAGCAGCTCGCGAAGGCTCTTGCCGGAAAAAAGACTGAGTTATTTCAATTAATTGACTCATTTTGGTTTTACACTTTCAACTCTGAGTAATCGGCAGTAATACCGGACTTTCTTTAATTGTTGTTAGGCATCATCTTCTTATATCAAAGCCGTGTTCGTCGTGTTGGCCTGTATCAGCCAGATGAGAGCTTCAGTGGTATGTTATTTATGTTTGTATATGTACGAAGGCATTTTTAATATGTGTCACTTCCGATTTTTCAAATTGTGGAAATGTTATCGTTCTTTTTTTTCGTAGTTCGATTTAGCGCCATGGGTCCGATACTAGACTTTTTTCGACCCACTCTTCTTGTTAAGGTGTGTTAATTATCAGGCAGCCGAATGCATTCTGAATTTTGATCTTTTTGTTTCTTCTGCAGCTTCGAGCCTCTGATTTCAGGTTGAGGGGAAAGTCTGAGAAGTTTAATCTCCGAATTACTGAGAGAGAAACAAACTTTGTCGAGCAAGTGGAGGTTGATGAAGACAACGATATTGAGTACTTTACTGTACCAGCTCACAATGATGTGCTTGGCGCAGACTTTTTGTTTGACTTTAAGATGGTGAGATCTCCCTCTTTAGAAAAGTTAACGAGAATTAGTTCAAGTATTTCATAGTGTTACTAAAGTTTAATCACCTGATTACATTTCCCTAAATGTACTCCAGAAACCGATCCAAGTGCACCCTTGATACGTGGGTAAACCAAAACTCATCAAAGTTGTAAATGAAACAGAGGTAGAGGGCTAAGCTAGTTTCTTAGATTGTTCTCATTATTGACTTTTTTTTCATGTTTACAGAACATTACAGTGGCCCGAATTAAAGACAGCGGATCTTGTTTTCTCACACCTTTGCCTTCAGACCTGCAAAACCAAATCTCCTAAAAACAGGATTACGAGGGGTAAGAGCTCTCAGCCTCTTATGGAAATAAATTTCATTATTCAGTTTTAACTCAGTCGAGTCTTAGTGTAATTTGAAAAAGCAAGGATGCCAGTAATAAAAGGTATGCCTACGACAAGTTTAATTTTATTACAAGTGGGTCACGAAAAAAAATTATGACGCAAAATTGTCACCAAAAAGATTAAAAAAAAAAAAAAAACATTACCCACGTTAGAGTTTGGTTCGTCTCATGAAAATTTTGACGTTTGGCCTAGGCCTTAGTTGACGCGGGCAGTTTAGCGCTGGTGAGCTGGTGATTCCCCAGTGCTACACCTTCCTCGATTAATATCCCAGTCAAATAGAGCTGAAACATCGCAGAAAGGTAACATCTAGTTGACCGTGCGTTTGAGTCTATAGTTTTGTTTTTCACATGCACAAAACATATTCTATCCACGCACGATATATCTACGCGGAGTGTTGTTGATAAGACCATCTCGCTCGCCAAGCAAGATAACTTTAAACTGGCATGCATAAAGACTGACTGACCTTAACGAACTGAAATTATGAGGATGACAACAGTACGCACAATGACAAGAGATTTTTTTCCAGCCTCCTATGATCATACCCTGGGTACCAGAGGTTTTTTAACTTGTGGATTACGTAAACAAGTTATAGATCGTTTTCAGTCACGTGGTCAGCAGCTTTGCAAATTGCTTGGAATAAAAGAAAGTTTTAACATGTGAAAAGAGTTCAATTCCCACAGGATTTTTTTGTACACGGCAAACGTGGCCGCCGATTCATTGTTTTGTACACAAATATGGCCGACGTGACGTCATATGAAAACGATCTATTGTGGTCACTGCGATATGCAAATATGTCTGTGACTCAGATGTAGACACCTTTCGTAAACCGGTCGGCTCCGCACGAAAGCGCCGGAATCAAAACGACAACTGTCGTAGATCGTTCCCGTTCCGCGATGTGCTGATTTTGTACATTTCACAGGAGTCACAGGACTTTGAAAGTTCCAAATTAGCACTATGGCCAACTTTGAGACCGAAGTTTATGAACTTTTGAAGCTTTTTTACTCGTCCAGGCGATAAACATGACGAATAGTCCGAATAGATCAGCAATTGCTCTTCGACTCCCAAGCTGGTTCAAGCTCACGATTCTTTCACTTTTCAAACACAACAAGACTCCTAATCTCATGGTCAAGTTTAGTGAAATATCATTCTGAAATGAAATGTTTCCGTTGTTCAATAAAAACGGAAATGTTTACTGTTATTGCTGAATCGTAATTGATTCTCCTCATGCCGCATTAAAACGCAGAGAATCGCAAGCTGTAAGAGACTTCGCGACGGTTTTGGGAGACACTTGTAGGCCATACGTTCTTCAAATGCGACGAAATGAGTAAAGTCCCGGTGTTAAAGTATGGCTTTAACTGTAAAAACCATGCTTGTTTTCCTCGAATATATCTTTCAATTCTTCATAAATAAAGCTCTACCGGCTTCAAACAGCGTCGACCGGCAGAATTTCATGGGCAAAAGTGTTACAGATGATTAATTTAAAGGGAGCCTTCATTTATTTACTAGTTGTCGTGGCGCAATAGGTAACGCGCTGACCTTCCACGTCAGAGGTCCGGGCCGGGGTTGGACTCTCGCCGTTGGAAACTTTATTTTCGTTTTGTTTTGGTTCTTTTGTTCTTTTTGTTGTTGTTTTTTTCGTAAAAAAAAAAATATACTGGTAGACTAATTGTAGGTTCATTATCAGCTTTCATTTCTAAAATACAGTAATTTAATAATAATCCACAAGTTAGCCTTACTGGCACCATTTGATTCCTTTTGCGGCGGGGTGCTTCGGTGTCGGGTGAATTTGCGGTTAATGTTAATCGCGATTCTTACAACCTCACGGGACGGACCATTGGAATTTATGGGGTGAGAAATTTTCCAGCCTCATACAAAACCTTATAAATCTTAATCTTGTAAATCTTATTTCGCGAACATTTCCTCTGTAAAGTGATTTTTTTTAGGCCAGTACATGAATATTTTTAGGGTTACTTAATTGGCGTGCATGAATTTTTTTCATTTAATTTTTCCTTGCAGAATATTCTTTGTACTTCGCTCGCCCCCTCATAAGATTTCTAAGGGTCCGTCCCTTACTTTGTGAAATGTAGGCGACCACTGCTGGAGTTGAATCCCTACCAGCTAAAGGTGATGTTGCACGGGACGATTCGAAACGACGATTTTTAGCGCAACACAGCGCTTATATGTTGGAACAATGTTGTAACCATTCGAAACATGTCGCAACAATGTTGCAACGCTGTGTTGCGCTAAAAATCGTCGTTGCGAATCGTCTCGTGTAACATCACCGTTAGGCATTCTGATCACGTCGTAGTCGTACAGTGACGGCAAAAATGTCGAAAAAAGCGCGATGCAAGTGCACGTACAGGCGTTTTGCTTATTCAAATCCAATGCTTTTTTACGTTCTCGTCGCCGTCGTCGAATCTTAAAGTCCTTAATGACTTGACAAAAACCGGAAACTGCACATGAAAAGTCTCCGGCGCATGGCACCCAACTTGCCTGCCTCGTCCCCAGTCACTAGCGATCACTTTTTAGGGGATATTTGAGTTAACTATTAAGGAAAGTAGGGACGAAGGGAGTGTTGAGAAGGGGAGACTGAAGATGACAACCGTAACAGGTTGTCGAAACTTTTCCGCTTCAACTTGTGTCGCACAAGAAACGCACCAATGACATAACGAGTCTTTATAGCCAATAATTTAACTGACAGACGACCCGACATCGCGACTTCATTGACCAATCAGGTCAATAATCAGAGTTTAATACCACCAACTGACGTGATACCACTCACTTTGACTTTGAAGATGACTACCGCACAGGGGGGGGGGAGAAGGGAGGCTTACAATGGGAAATTAAAGTGATCGTAGCATGCATAAACTGTCCCTTATAGGAACAATTATCCAAAAATGTGCTAACTTTAGTACGTTCTAATGCAGTTTTCTCCACAAGACAAACTGAATCCGGTTTTGGTTTTCAGATGACAGCCCTTCCGGCTAATCACCAGGTCACAACAGTGAACAAAAAGTGGAGGATTAATGCCAAGATCGATAAATCATCACTCAGACCGGAAGTGAGAAGCTTCTGTGCCCAGTACCCTGTTTTCAGCCTTTATGAGTACACACCTGATTCAATTGCGGTGGAGATGGAGCATCTAGGAGGTAAGTATTTATTTTAGCCCGTCGTTGGAAAGCTCGAGGAAGAACTGTTCAACTTTCACTGAATTCTCCAACTGAGGATAGTTCTTTAATTTGCTCACAGTTTTCCTTTTTTTTTACACAGTGAGATCCAAACGCCAGGTGGTATTTAACGAATTTGATTTGTGTGGCCAAACCAAACCTCCTTGTAGATTTACAGCATGGAAACTTAGATGCAAATTCACAACTTCCAATTGCGTGTATTTCTTTACATGCAGGCAGAACGTTAGGTTAAAAAACGAATATATGTGACAACGCACCGACACATTTGTCCGGGACAATAATGTGCTGTGAGGCTAGATGTTCCTAAACTGATCATGATTTGCCTTTGTTTCGCTTACTCATTAGATACACTCTTTTTATTTTATAAGAATGTATTTTATAAGAATGTCGAGGCTGAAATTTGCGAAAATTTAAGAATATTTTAAGAATAAACTCAGGTTGAGGTTTTGAAAAGGATATTGTTTTCAGGTGTTTTGTGTGTTGAAAATCTGTAAATGCAGTACAAATATACCAGGCTTTTTAAGTGATTCCTTTCACTAAACGACAAAACCAACCAACGAAACGAAAAAAACGTGCACTAACCTTAATTGATACCCTAATATATTCTGGGACGAAAATGTCATAACCTATAATTTAAGAATAATTACAAGAATATTTTCAGCCTTAGATGGACAAAAAAAAAAAGAATATTCAGCCTGGGCCGGAAAAACATCATTCTTATAAAAGAAAAGGGTGCAGTAGTTAACCTTAATTAATATTAGCATAAGTCAGTTATTAGTTAACTCAAATTCAGTTAAAGCTACTAATGAATCGGCGACAGAATATTGAGCAGCGGCACAACATACATGTATCTAGCTTCGGCGTATTGGGGAGTAGATACTCTGCTTTTTCCTTTATGAAGTAGATAGTACATTTGTTTTATTCTAAAATGGGAGCTGGGAGTCATCTAGATTCATAATAGAGGGGTTCGAATAAATGACAGCCCAAGGCAAGAGTATTTTGGGGAGGCAGGCGAGAGGCAAAGAAGTTATTGATCTTGTACACGAGTACACGTACTTGGGAAAGCGAATTTCATCAAATGGTAATTTTAATGTTTCACTAGAATATTTAAAATACAAAGCAGTTCACGCTTTATTCGGACCACGAAAACACACAAATTTAAGCAAATGAAAACCTTCTCTTGCTTTCAAAATATTTGAAGCAATGATTTCCCCAATATTATCATATAATAGCCAAATTTGGGGTGTATATGTAAAAAACGATTTTAAAGCTTGGGACAATACCCCAACTGAAAAAACCCACTTGAAATTTTGCAAGCGTTACCAAGATATAAGCAATAAAGCTTCAAATGTTGCAAGTAGAAGTGAATTAGGACGACTCCCAGTAATTATTGATATTTAGAAAAACATCCTTCATCACATACTGTATCTTCTGCGTAAAAACGAGGATACTATTGTTAAACAAGCTTAATTTCGTACCTCGCTAGAGCTTCACTACAATGGTAAAAATAGCTTTTACCATAATCTTATCAAAATATCTGAATATTATGACCTGCATGATTTTGATCATAATAATTTAAGTGAAGCTAAGATCAAACACTATATATAATAAAGCAAAAATATATTACATATTGGCAACATACAATCCATCATTCTAAGAAACTACAATTTTACAACATATTTAAACATGACGATTATAAAATTTGAAGTTATGTAGACTAGAAATTCAACCAATAGGAAAGACTTGGTGAAAATTCGTATAAGTAATCACAAACTCATAATTGAAACTGAATCGAAAGATATAATCAAACTCCCCACAACGATAGATTATGCCCTGTTTGTAACTCTGGTATGATTGAAGACGAATTTCATTTTCTCTTGCATTTTCCAAAGTATTCAATCCCAAGGGAAAAATTCTACAATAAAATCCAACAAAATTGCGTCGCTTTTTATCGGCTGTCTTGCACAGAATTAATAATTAAATTGATGAATTCACAGAATTTTTCTGTAAATTCACATTTGTTGAAATTTGTTTTATTATGTAATGATTTACGTAATAATTTGTTATTAATTTTTTAAAGACTTCTATTGCAATAGAATACCTTATTACAGAAATAAACCGCTGTGATAGTTAATGTATTGTTTGCCTCGTTCATTGTGAGTAAATCATCGCGCCATTTGCCCTTTCCAGTTATTTCTTGTCGATTGAGTCTCCAATTAGAGGAACAGAATAGGGAGGGGAGAGAAATTGGGGCAAAAATGTAGGGAGGAAGAAGAATATCAAATCCTGTGGGTGTAAGGAGATATCTATGAGAAGGTAATTTTAGGGCTTTTTTTAACTTGCGTGATGACAAGGGATGGTAGACTGCGAGCAGTCTCTCTTTTTCTTCAGATTTAGTAAGGGGAGTGCACGCGCGCGAAAGCGTTGAGCGGCGAAGCCGCGAGACGCGAGAAACGAGGGCGGCAGCCCGAGAAGAAAAAAGAGAGACAGCTCGCATAGCCAGACCCAATGAAATATGCGTTGGCCTCACAACGCAAAATACGATTGGCTGATGCGTGAAGCGTTGACAACGAACTGTAAACAATCGAATCCATTGACAAGTTGATGATGGCTGAAGCACTGCAGGAATGTTTGTCACGTTTTCCGAAAAAAAAAAAATTAGATACGGAGCAAAGAGAAGCATCAGAAGGTCTCATCTCTCCGGGTACGTGACGTGATCGCGCAATTTAAATACTCAAAGCCTCTCTTCACTGTCAAGGAACGCTTTAGTTCCAAAACGGTAGTCTTACTTTAGAACTTAAAACAGAAAGTAGCATAGTGTTTAGTTTATGAAGCTAACACAAAAGTATTTACCAACGAATGCACTACAGGACATCGCGCTATAGAACAAAGATTCGTTACATTGAATCTCAAGAAAGAAAGGAAAAACAAAAAAAAAAACAAATCGGCGCTCAAAGAATGATCTTGAGTGAGTTGCAGCGTTGGCTTTTCTTTAGCTAAGGATATGTAAAACACAACAGGGGTCTTTTTTGCATGAGCATGCGCGACCGCTGAACAAGCGATGTGCATGGAGGCTCACCACAGGGTTTGCCTTCATCAAAATGGCGCGTCTCAAAGCTATCATAGCGATTATTTTGCTCGTTGGTCTTGGCGAATGTGCTCGTGCTTTAACAAAATGTGTAGTTTGCAAAAAAAACTCTAACATGGTCTTAACAAAAGCGAAGTAGACCGGCTTTAACATACACGAGCTACTATCAAATTTCATCTCCCCACTTGTCCTGGACAACAGCGCGTGTATATGTAGTGCCTGGAGGATTGCGCTGACCTCATCAAAGTCTAAACAAAGTGCAGAAACGTTTGTTGATGCAAACAAACAGTTTCAATTTTCTTTGTTTTGAAATCGGAAAGGAAGAGAAATATTAAAAAAAAAACATACAAATTTCAGCGAGTGGGTTCGAAGTGCGCGAAAGCCGATGTTCAGTTCAGCAGTGAATTAATATATGTTCTACAATTTTCCCAGCACTTTAAAGCTACAAGATTAAGAGCACACGAGACGTAGATTAGTCACCTGGTGAGATGTTGGTGGTAGTCACTCTGTATGTCTCGAACAATAAAAAATATGAATATCAATGAGACACAGTCAAAACTGCATTCAATAGGACCGAAATTAAAGTCCAATCTTGTGACCGATTTTGATGAAACAAACGGTTGGGTTTCCCCAGAAGTACAGTAAACATGTGATGCCGACCAAAAGTTAAAAATCATCAGAACATTTAAGTTCTGGCTAAAAGCAAATTCCTGTAAAAGATGCGTTACAATGTTAGTCCACGCAAAAACAAGAAGTTCTACAATTTTCCGATAAACAAACTTTGTATCGCTAAAATACTTATGGCAAAAACGTTCTATTCCAACTGAAAACGGCCTGGTAGTCGCCCGCTGACCGTTATTAATCCACTCCCGAAATATGGCTAAATCAGCTATTAACAAATAATTGACAGAAATCCTCTACGGCATCGAGAAACTGATTTACATCCGATTTATAGACAAACACTAAATAAAGAACATTTTGCTCAGTAGCTACGCATCAGCAATGCATTCTATGCCAAACTTTGCGGTTCTTAAAGGGGAATCAAGACACGAGTCGAGCGCCAAACAACAACAAGCAGCCATGTTCGTGTCAGACATCCTTGAGAAACTTGCTCTTTCACCTCGTTCAGCGCATCAGTCTCCACTTTAAATCAACAGATCTTTACTTATTTTGTACAACGAAGGTCTTTCCTAAGTTCCTGCTACCATTTCAATCTCAAGCAAGCTTTCAAAGTGAACAATTTGGTTCCTATGACTATGCACCACGGTCGCTGTCACTGGTCGCGTGCTCTTTGTCAAGTCAGCGGTCGCGCATGCTCATGCAAAAGACCCCATATGTAAAACACTATCCCGTGAAAATTCAACATCCTGGAAACAAGAACTAGGCCTCGGGTGAAGCACAGGAAATGAATTATTAATATAACGGAAATAGACCAGCTTCATGACCTCTAAATGTGAGACCAGCGGCCAAAATTAAGATTTGCTCAGTCAATTAGTTTAGAATCGACTCCAACTCTATGCACTGCAAAAGCTGCGCTTTTAAAACAAGAAATGTAGGAAAACCTCTGTTGTTCAAGCAAACTCTAAGGTCACGTTTCACGTGCCTGGCCTGTCAACACTTCAGTTTTCATGCCAAAAATCACTAGACCGTGAAAGACCATTCTCTCTGGCTTTGCGGGTACCCTCTCTTTTGTCGTGCCTCTCCCGTCTCGTGCCTTCAGTCACGCGCGTGGTCATTTGTGTGTCTCGCGCGTTTTGCTCGACGGAACAGAGGTAGCCCAAGCGCGAAATATGCGCATCGGCGAGCATGGGTATTGTTTCGTAACATTCAAAATATAAGGATTTGTATGGAAAAAAAAAACTATCGTTTCTGTAACCTACGAAAATGAAAGGATTTCAATAAAAAACAGCTTACCTTACTTTAAATGTTTGTAACGTCTCTCCTGTGTGGTCCACGGGCCGATTTATGGCCGTTTTACGGGTTTTTATGTAAACGGTTTTCTCTATATATAAAATACAAATCCTTTTGAATATTACGCAACAATGCCGATGTTCGCCGATGCCAGGAGCCGATTAGCCGATGCTCATATTTCGAGCTTGGGCTACCTGTGGACGGACCAAGAAAAAAGAGAGACTACTCTTAGTCTAAGGGATGGGGATGA